GGCAGCAGAGGTGGGAGGTCACATGAGGGACACGGCGACTGGAGGTGGGGAACCTTCCTGCACCCTCCCACTCCTTCCCGTCGTCTGTCACCCCATGGCAAGGGGCACGTTGGGAACTGGTCCCCATCTCCTGCCCCTGGTGACAAACCCGGTCCAACTGGGGGATGTTTCCACACAGGATGTCCTGCTTCTGCTTGTTGGTGGTCAGGGGTTGTGTAAGAGGAATGACTGACCTGAAAAGCCCCTCCTGACACATCTCCTCACCTGACCATGCCTGTGAGAAAACTCTTCCACAGGGCTTGGGCACAGGGGGTGACATCACTGCTCCTCCAAGGCATGGTCATGCTGAGATGAGGCCCCCCATCCTTCTGCCTTCCCTCCAGCCCTGGTGTTCTCAGATACCACAACCCTCCAACCCTGGTGCTCTCACAACCATCAGCACTTGAGTTTATTTGATGTCCATGGGTTGACCTTGGTGCAGTAAAAAATCCCACACCACCAGAAATCCCTGCTTTCACCATTCCCTTTGCCTGGTCCAGGCCATGGGTTGGCAGAAGGTGGCATTGCCCACTGCTCCCTGTGGAACTGATGCTCAGCTGCAGTGACAGGAGTGCTGGAGGTGCAGGACAACCACAGAAACACCCAACAGGGAATCACCACTGAATATGTCCCAGCAACCAACAGCCACAGCAGCGAGGCAGCAGCAGCACAGGGAAGGATGAAATGCCAACCTGGGAAGTCACAACCAGTGCTGAGAGTGCCCAGCACCAGCTGCACCTCTGTACACATCGTGTCTCTGGTGGGAGACTCCAGATGACCCAACAAAACACCAACAGGAAGGAAGTGACAAGCTGAAGAGGAGCAAATTCACACCCTGATTCCCCCTCTCCCAGGATGCTCTGGGCTGTCTTCCTGTGGGGGATCTCACAGGATTTACTTGCAATAGTGCAGATAAAACACCAACAACTCTCAACACAGTGAACAAAAATCCCTTTGAAAACTCTCAGAAAATGTGTGAAATGGGCTTTGAATGCTGAATTACTTTTTCTCCATACTCACTGCAAGCTTCAAAACTAAAAACACAGCCCTGGAATCACAGAACTGTAGGATTGTTTAGTTTGGAGAAGACCTTGAAGATCATGGAGTCCAACCATTCCCCCCGCACTGCCAAGCCCACCACTAACCACGTCCCAGGTGCCACATCTACATGGCTTTTAAATCCCTCCAGAGATGGTGACCCCACCACTGCCCTGGGCACACTGTCCTAGTGCTTCACCACCCTCTGGGTGAAGAAATTTTCCCTGATAACCAACCTAAACTTCCCCTGGAGCAGCTTGAGGCTGTTTCCTCTCCTCCTGTCCCTTGTTCCCTGGGAGCACAGCCTGACATCCCCCGGCTCCCCCCTCCTGTCAGGGAGCTGTAAAGAGTGAGAGGGTCCCCCCTGAACTGCCTTTTCTCCAGGCTGAGCCCCCCCAGCTCCCTCAGCTGCTCCGGGTTCTCCAGACCCTTTCCCAGCTCTGTTCCCTCCTCTGGACACGCTCCAGCCCCTCAATGTGAGTGGGAGACCCAAAACTGAACCGAGCCATTACCTGATGTACACAAGGGATGAATAAGGATAAAATATGCTGAGTATTTTCCATGCTAAAGACAGGAATACCTGTCATACCATCCCTGTGTATCCTACTTTATCCTCACCATGGACCTGACTCAGCTTGTTCTTGGAAAAAGCCCTCACACACATCATGCACGAGCATGTAGAGAGAGCAGAAAGCACTTCAGAAAGGAGGGAAAGCTCCGTGGCACGGAGGTGACATGCCCTGGGGACAAACTCTTTCTTTGATTCCCTAATTCCTTTCTGCTTTTCCTCACCTTTAAAGACACTCCTAAGCCCCAAATATGTAAGTCTATAAAAACATTTCCCCTCTTTAAAGCTCGTTAAAGTGCCGAGGTGAGCGGGATTGGGAAGCTCTGCCGATTTCTCTAATCAGTAGAAACTATTCAAGGATCACAGGCTGGGACACGTCTGACAAGAGCAGGAGAATTTGCATAACAGGGAGGGCTGAGAGCTGAGCTGGGGACAAACAGGGAGCAGCAGGAGACACATGAAGAGTGACATGACATGACATGACATGACAACAGCTGAGCGGGACTGTCCCTGCCTGTGCCCCGACTGCAAGGATCCAGTTCCATTCATGAGAAAGATGAGTCCCAAAAGTCACCATTCCCTGTCCTGCACCGGGGGATGGCTGGGAAACATCCCAGTACAGCCCAGCACAGCCCAGCACTGGGTTTCTTCTGACCACTGTACGGCTGAGCCACCCTGGGAGAGTCACCTCTGCCAGGTGCACTTGTGCTCTGGAGAGGAAAAAAAATTTCTCTTCCCCTTCTTGGGATTCTCAAGAACAAATTCTAAGTTTGAGTGCAGGGAATGAGCCTGTTCCTGACTCATTTCAAGGGCTCAGCTCCTGCTCTCCAAGGCTCTGGCTGCTCAACCTCTTCCAGTCAAAGGTTTGCAGGTCACACTGCAAGGAGTCTGACGCCAACTAAAGCTCTTATGAACTCTTTTATCTCAGAACTGACTCACCTGGAAATCCTAGGAAAACACAATAAAAACAAACTCCTGGATGTTTGCTCGAGTACAGATTGGAGTTATCTGCTTGCAAAGGCCTTGAATGTATATTAAGCATTTTGTGCACTCACAGTGAAGGCAAAATTAACTTTGACACTCACGGTCAAAATATTAGTGTCAGTTTTTTAGTATTCTGCCTTGGAATAAACAACTGAGATGGAGGGGACTGGGGGGGAGAAAAACAGTAAGAAAAAATCACATCTCTACACAGCACTTCCACAGAAATACAAACTTTTTTACTTGATAATAAATGGAGCCACACCTACCCCTGAACTTGGTTCTGGGTACTGTAAACGCAGATATTAGTCCTTGTCGCCAAGGTTTTACAGTTTAAATGAAAACAAATAGTGAATTATAGAAGGAAAGGAAGTCAGGCACATGTGTAAGGTTTCCAAGGAGTGCTGTGGCTTGGCTTGGATTCGAGCTCACGGGTTTTGGTGCTTTATCAAACAATGTGTGGTGGAAGAGAGGCTGGACACGAGCCAACAGTGTGTTCCGGCTGCCCAGAATTCCAACGTGTCCTGGGCTGTTCCCACAGGTAAAGGGGGGGATTCTGCCCCTCTGCCCCCTCAGGTGAGACCCCCCTGCAGAGCTCCTCCAGCCCTGGGGAACAGCACAGCAAGGACATGGAGCTGCTGGAGAAAGTCCAGAGGAGGCTCCAAGATTATCAGGGGGATGGAGCAGCTCTGCTGGGAGAGCTGGGATTGTTCAGCCTGGAGAAGAGAAGTTTTGGGATGACCTAGTATGGCCTTCCAAGACATGAAGGGAGCTTGCAAGAAGGATGGAGAGAGGCTATTTGCAAGGGCCTGGAGCGACAGGACAAGGGGGAATGGATTCCCACTGACAGAGGGCAGGTTAGATGGGATATTGGGAAGAAATTGTTCCCTGGGAGGGTGGGGAGGCCCTGGCACAGGTTGCCCAGAGAAGCTGTGGCTGCCCCATCCCTGGAAGTGTCCAAGTTGATACTGGACAGGGCTTGGAGCAATCTGGAATACTGGAAGGTGTCCCTGCCCGTGGCAGGGGGTGGAACTGGGTGATATTTAAGGTCCCTTCCAACCCAGGCCATTCTGCGATCCTATGATTTACCAACTCTTTTTTAAACCACACTGATTTTCACTATTTCTTGCTTACTCCTTCACACTTTCTCTTTCCCTGGCCTATTCCCTCTCCAGTCTGCTGGCAGGGATCCCATCCTTGCTGCTAGCAGCCTCAGTCACCCTCACTAACCAAACCACATGTTCTTCTCAGAGCATGACTTTTAGCTCTCTGGTGTATCAAGCTCTGCACCAAACTGTTGTAATAGTCTTTTATTGAAGTGATAAGAGCTGCCTGAATTTTTTATGAATATTTTACAGGTGTCCTGGGACATGAGAAAATAGTTTTCTTTCTTTGACCTTATTTTTTAATAACCCAAACCTGAAATGCCTTTCACGAGGAGGTAAGAAAAACCAAACCTTGTTGCTCTCTCACTAAGAAATCTGCAAGTTTCCAGCCTGTTTCTCTACCCAGGGAAAAAGGAGAAGTTTCTGAACATCACTGTGTGTGCACGTAGACATCAGAGAAAGTTTCCATTTTAAAGAGAACTTTCCTGGGGAAAAAAAATCTGATTTCAACAGTCTGGGTAAATCTAAATGGCAACATCTCCACAGATGGGTCCTGCCAAGCACTTCCTAAATGGCACTGGAGGAGGGGCTGCTTGGAGTGGTAGGGAGCAAGCAAAAATTAGCCTTCCCTGGGATATGGGAGCTATTTCCAGCTGGACATCAGCTTGTTATTCCAGACCTGTTGTTGAGCAGCTCCAGAGGTTGTCCATAGGAGCAGCCCTTCTCAGATGTCAATAAAGATGATATATTTTTCTTCCAAGTGCAATGAAGTCACAGCTTTTTCAAGAAACAATAACAGACTTCCCCGAAAGCACAATTAAAATGATTTTGGAGAAGAACCCCAGAGCAGATAAACATCCCACTTCAGGCCTGATCCTGCACTCTTTGGTGCAAAAGATGCACGTTGAGCAACCTGCAGCCTGATGTGGATTCTGCTAAAATGTAGAGATGAAGCAACGCTTCAGAGAACCAGAGCCCTTCTTTGGGGTCACTTACTTCTCACCTTCCCCAAAACCCTCTTCCCCTCTGTCTGGGAAAGAAGAAACTGCCGGGCTCCGTCCCCTCTGCCTCTTTCGCTCTCCCCCTGCTTCTCACTTTCACTCCCATCGGTTTCATGTTCCCTCTGCCATGCGGAAAAGCTTTCAAGTCTCTCCAGCCCAGCAGCGGGGTTTATCCTGGTTCCACCCACTGGGACTTTCCTGGCTTCCTTCAGCACAGAGAGAGGGGGGAGGAAAAAAAAAAAGCCGTCGGGAGGCAGGGAGCGGGCAGGGAGCGCGGGGAGCCGCGGAGCTCCCGATCCCCGCGCTTGGGTTTCTATTGTAGGCGGCGCATTCCTCGGGAGGGAGGGTGCGTGTGTGTGTCGGTGCCTTCCCACACTCGGGGCAGCTCTTATTTAATGGGGGTCTCCATGCAGGGCAGACACCAGAGGAGGTTTTTGCCGTCCCCAGCTCCCAGCGAGGAAGAGCATCTCGCCAGGCAGGCGCTGCCATGGAGCGTGTGGTCGAGATAACGCCGGAGGTAGCGGCTCCCGGGATCAGCCAAGGTTTTGGGATGCACCTCAGGAAGGATTTGAGGAGGATGCGGTGCGCGGTGCTGCTGTGCCTGCTCTCGGTGCTGGTCCTCATGCTGCCCATCGCCTACCTGCTGGTCGGGAACCTGCGAGCGCCCAGCTCCTGCGGCAGCCAGGTAAGGCACTCGCTCCTCATTCCTGCCGGCAGGAGCGTCCTGCGCCTCCAGGGCTGCCTTTGTTCGGGTCTTTTAATTCTCTTTTACGAGTTTCTCGTGTTTAAGGGAATGTGTGAGGCTCGCTGTTACGTTCCTCCTTCCTTACACTGAGAAAAACCGCCCGGGATAAATCATATTACTGCTCAGAATTCTGTGGTTCTGCCATTCAGACTTTTAAACTAACGGTTCCTGTTCTTGTCTTAATTTCACTGAGGTCACAGTACAATGCATGACTTTAAAACTTTTATTGGCATGCTGCAGGCAACGCTTCAAAAACCACTAGTTGATGTAAATCAGTGTCTCTCCACTGATTTCAGCCAGATTTTCATACTGTGGCTCGTTTTCCTCCCTTCTTTTGGGTTAAATCTGAGGCTTCCCCTCCTGGTGTCTGATTTCAGCTGACCAGGCTGTGATGTCAGTGGGTCAGTCACCCATCACTGGGCTGACAGTTCTTGTGTATTATTAATGCAAACTTCTGCAGAGATCTGATCTGAGGCAAGGAGTCTGGCCTTAAATTTTGCTCCCTATTTTTCACTCTCCCTTACAACTCTGGATCCAGGGATCTTCTCAGCTCTTCTCCCTTGACAGCTGCACTCCCTTTGCTCCCAGCCATGCAAGTCCATGCTGTGCTGCTTCTAACACTCTTTCATGCTGCTCCATCCCTTCTGGTGCCAGTCTGCAAGTGCCCATTCCCATGGGAGACTGTGAATTCAGCGGGGCTCTTCCATGCTACCAGGGTGCATGTATGTCTGGAGAATTTTACCTTCAGCTCTGAAATCCCCCAGCTAATTAGTGTGCTTGCTAGGAGCTTATTTAGGATTAAAAAGCAGCATTAGGAAGAGGTGTCAAAGGCAGGTTTCTAACCTTGTTTTGCCTGGGGATGTTCAGGGGGTGTGAGAGCCGTGCAGGGATGTGCCAACCCCTGGTTGACCCTGAGCTCATTCCCAAGTGCAGCATCCTCTGTGTTACCTGGTTCTACCCTTGTGTGGCACCTCTTCTGTCCAATCTACCAGTTCCTTGCCTGTGTGAAATGTGTTACTGCCCTGACCCTGCCACTGCTGTTGAGGCCAGTGGGTGCACACGAGGTGAAGAGTCTCAGCTGCACCGGGCTTTGCTGGAGGTTGTACAGAGCAGAACAGCTCAGCCTTGAAGCAGAGTGGAAGAATAACAAAGTGTGAGCTTGTTTGATCAATCTGATGCGTTCTTGGCTCTTGATCCTGTTGGCAGAGTTAGCAGAGAAAAGTATTTTTACTAGTGGGCTTGGCTTCTTAAGAGGAAAAGCACAACGTCAGCCCCGAGCACTGCTCCAGCCTGGGCTGCCCTGGTGTTACATCCACTCATGTGCACTCAGTTATCAGCGTGTAATATTCCCACAATGATGTAACGAGGTGATCAGATGACTTACAACCTCTGTGAGTCCCAGGGAGGAAGAGGAAAGTCATGGGGCTGGCTGGGTGCCCGCTGTGCAGTGGGAGGAGCTGCCCCTCAGCTGGCTCCTGCCTGGTCTCGGTTTTTCATTCATTCTCCTGTTTTCTGGCTCTACCAACAGTGTTGTCCAGCAGCAAAGGGCAGATGGGTGGATTTGCCTGCCTGTGTGGATTTATCTATAAAGTCCCCAAAGAGCCATGTCACACACTGAACCCAGGAGCTCAGTCCTGCTCTTCCAGTCCATGGGATTGCTTCTTGGGAAAATGTCTTTTTGCATCTCCTTCTGCATTTGGAGTGTTAGAACTGGATTGTTAAATGTCTCCTTCCCCATGTGCTCCGTTGATAGCCCAGATCAGGACTACTGGGACCAGATGTGTGTGTCAGAGCTCTCTGTGGCACTGGTTTCGGGGTGTGGGTGCCCTGGGCATACTGGGACCAGTGGGCAGACTCCAGTTTGCCCCAGATGAGCATTGGTTTGCTGACCCTCACAGGAGAGAGCCCACGGGAGGAGTCCTCTCATTGCTGCAGGACTAGAGCTCAGCCCACACATGCTTGGATTGTCACCTTCTCGTGCTCTGGGGACAGTCCTGGGAGGAGGGAGGGACTCAGCATGTGAGAAGAAAACATAGTAAATTCCTGAGTGAGTCCTTCCTGGAGCAAGGGGAGGAGAAGGGGAGGTTTGTGCAACAGGGGTGTGTTTTTCCTGGCACTCTGCCTGTGGGGTGAGGCAGTTTGGTCATCTCTGCCTCTGTGTGGGTGCACATGGTGTCACCTCCTGCCTCTGAAAGGATGCAAACTCACCTTTCCCCTGGAAATGTCCCTTTCAGGAAAAAGCAGGTCAAGTTATGTCATTACAACATGTGTGAGCCTCCAGTTTTCTGTTATGGTGCAATGAGTCTTGGATGAATAATGCAAGTTTGATGATGGTTTCTCTGGACACCTTCCAGGCTCAGTGCACTGCTCCTTTTGGAAAGAGAAATCACTTTCTTTTATGCTCCAAGACGGAGTGAGGTGAGGAAATAGAGTTCTTCAAATAATAACACATGGCTTGTGTTATTAGCAGGAAATCTATAGAAAGGTTCTAGTGGTGCCCTTCCAGAGGAAGGCCAAGGAGTGCTGCTTATCCTTCCCCAAAGGGAAGCCAAGTTTCAGTTTGAGTTCATAAATCTCTCAAAGTTGCAGCTCAGCAGCCAAGAGAATCTCTGGCTGCCTCAGCAATCTGCTAAGCTGACCCAGGAAAGCAGAGCATCCAGTCCTGTGGCCTGGAAACACACTTGGATTTGTTTTCATGGCATCCTTGGCATGTCAGGACCACAAAGAGAAATTCCAAAGCCCGTCCAAAGGGCTGCATGTGAACCTGTGTGCCACGTCTGTGCCATGGCAGCTTGGCAATGGAGAAGGGAGTCCCAGCAGCTCCTCGTGGATCCCATCCAAAAGGAAGTCAAGAAATCTGGCAACAAAGCTCAGAAAAGATCCCCCCATATGGGAAAGAGACCTTGAAATGGCTTCCTGATGTGTGGGAATGGAGCAATGCCTGGGGAGGAGCAGGGAGTGTTGTCCCTGGATGGGCCCTGGTGTTGGGATTCCCTTTCCAAGAGCAGCAGTAAAACTCCTGAGTGGCCACTGCTGCTGGATGCACGTGGTCCTTGTGGGCACAGAAGGCCAAGAGCACATGCCCTGGGTCCAGACTTCCTCTGGGCACCACTGTCCAGACAAAATGTTCTTATTGAAGCCAGTTTTTACTGGTGCTGGACAGGTCCCTACCAAAAACACCCAGCCCAGGCCATGCAGCATCTCTAGACTGAGCAAAACTTGGCTCCATGCACCACATATGAGCTGTAAAATAGTGTCCTGTGCTAAAACTGGAGTGGATGGAGGTTCTGGGCATGTTTTGTCTATTAATCCCTCTGCCTGCAGTGCCAGCTGCTTTTCCCACGCTGTTCTCTGATGGATATCCCTGGCCCTGTCCAGAGGTTCAAGAGCCAAAGTACACAAACAGGGGATGTTCAGCCCTTCTTTTTGGGTTTGGCAATATCTGGGTATAAATGCACTGGGGCTTTTGGACATTCTTGACACTAAAACCACCCAGAAGTGGTTTGCACACATGCCTTGAGGGTAACAGCTGCCTGTCCAGGATGTCCATGAGTCAGCTGGAAGGTGGGATTTTCAGCATCACTCAGGGCTGGTTGGTCTCTCCCCAGTAACCAAAGGGAAAATCGAAGCAAGGCTGTGAACTTTGTCAGCAAGAAAGGAAAAGAGAGAAAAGCACTAATTGTGTAAATGATCCATTGTCTCCTGCTGCTTAGCTCTGTTCATCATCAATGTACAACATCTGTGCCTGTTTGGGACGAGTATTACTGACACCTGCTCATTATGTAGCACTGCCTGGTGCCAAAACATTTTCTCTAAGAGATTTCTATTTTTATCGTTATCAAATAGCACAATTAGGAATAAAAAGAACAGCCATGGCTTTGCCAACAGCAGGATAACTTCCCACCTTGCAGCACCCTGCTCTGTCTGCATCCCACTGTCCTTTAGCATCTGTGAAGGAGCTCCTGCACCTGGAGTTTCCATCTGGATTTCTTTGGAAACAAGTGAATTCAGGTTTAAACAGAACCATTTTGTTACCTTTTACAAAGAAGGAGGATTCTTCTCGCTCTCCTTCCCATTTTCCCACCACCTCTGTTTGCATTGCAACATCCAAGTTTATCTGAAGTACGTCAGCAGAAATTGGGCTTCAAGTATGCAAACAGTTCCCCAGAAGTTCCAGACTGAAATGTAGGTTTGTGGTTGATTTGCAGCTCCTTGCAGTACTTAGCACTGCTAGAAAATATGTCACTTGGCAACTCTGTAGGAAGTGTCACACAAATAATGGTGCAAATTTACTCATATTTGTGCCCCTGTGGCTGAAAGCAAGGGCAGAGCGTGAGGGAAATCCTCAATCCTGATCTTGAGCTTCCCAGCAGGGGAAGGACAAAGTCACCTGGCTGTGACTGTGTCACATCAACAGCACAGACATGTTTAGGCATCACAGCAAGCAGGACCTTGGAGAAAGTCCTCGGTCACAATGAAAGGCCCTGACACCTCCCTGACCACACCACAACTCTCCTTCAGCCTTACCCTGAGCTGTCACAGCACCACCTCTGCCAGAGGACATTTCCAGCACAGCAGGAGTGTGATGCTGCTGGGGTGATGTAGGTGTGTGCAGGTGGGCAAGGCTGTTTTCCTGCTGTGTTTTTTTCCCAACACACTGGAGTAACTATTGCAGAAATTACAGTTTTCTGCAGGAGCACACGGATGTTTACTGCTGATAAAACATCAGATTAGCTTTGGGTTTACCAGACTAGCCAGCAGTTCCCGAGCCCAGGCAGCCTGATTCTTCTTCCACAAACATTCTCCTTTCCCCAGTTAATGTAAATTATCTATTTTCTACTTCTCCTCTAATATAAATCACCTATTTTCCACTTCTCCTGTGGTATTTGAAGCTGTGTGAGACACAGCCAGCAGCAGACAGCTCCAGCATCTCCATACTAATCCTCTTCCAGCCTGCTTATTAAAAATGCATCAAATCCTTTGCTGCAAGCTGGCCAGTGGTAGTTTATTCAATGTATTTTTGGGAACTGTCCATAAACCAAACCACAGCAACCCCGTGGGCTCTGACAAGTGTGATGGGGGTTCCCAACAGCCCTGGGAGTCAGCCCTGAGCTGGCTGCACACCCCACACTGGCTGCTCCCTGCTGTGCCCTGGGGTGGCACAGGGGATGCTCCTCACACCTCAGGGAGCTGGATCCAGAGTCAGCATCCCACAGCATCCTCCCTTTGGAGCTGGCACGTGGCCGTGCCCGGGTGTGAGTCAGGAGGAGCAGCCCTGGCAGGCGTGTGCCAGGCAGGCAGCACAGCCCCTGGGAACTGCTCCACCTCAACATCACAGGCACTTGGCAGTGCCCAGGGCTGTGCCCTGCAGGAAGGGTGATGGGAGTGCTCAGCTCCAGGAGGGAAGAGCTGAGTGAGGATAAGCCACCCTGCCCTCCCCTGGCACAGTGTCAGCGAGCTGCTGAGCTCACCCTCTGCCAGCTGCTCTCTCAGAGCTGCTCAGCTCCTCTCTGCCTGCCCAGTAGGTCACCCAACATCCAAGGCAGGCCCAAGCAGCACATCCACAGTCTGAAATCAGACAGATGCAGGAAGTGGCACTGACTGCCATGGTCCAGTTGACAAGGTGGGCTTGGGTCAAAGGCTGGACTCAGAGGTCTTTTCCAACCTGGCTGACTCTGTGTGTGAAAAGCAGGTGTAGCTGATACACCTCAGTTAGTCTCTTTGTTATGGATGAACCTTTGTGCCTGTAAAGGCTCAGACCTGCCAAGTCTTGAGACAGGGGAGCATTGCCCACGTTGCTCTGCTTGCTCTGCCTGGATTGAGGGACAGGAGGCTCTGGGCAGCAGAGGAGCTCCAGCAGTGCTGGGTGCAGTCACCATCCCAGAGGAGGGGCTGGCAATGCCTAATTCCCACTGCCCACTCTGCTGGGCCTCTCCCAGTTTTGCCAAGGGCTCATCCAGACTGGAGTTTAACAAAACCCCTGCCACAGGAGCCCAGGTCCTGTCTCTGACACCCCTTCAGAGATGCAGTTTCAAACCTACAGCAGAAATCTCTTGCAGTGAAGCAAAGCCTTGTCAGGGCTCCTCACTTTTCATTAAAGCTCTAGGTGAACTCACTGACTTCCTGCAGCACATTCCATTTTCTGGGATAACTCAGACAAGCCCCTCTGTGGAGGTTCCCCCTGGAGCCCTGAGCTAACTGCTGGTGAATCTCTCCTGCAGGTCCCAGAGGAGAGGGGCTCCCTCTTTCTGAAGCAACGGGCAGTAGATGGTAAGTTTGCCAGTCCCCCATCCCAGCACCTTTGGATACAATCCCAGCACGCTGCTGCCTCCTGCTCTCACCTCCCTAATCCCTCCCTCCAAACAACCAGGGCAGCCAGAGGCAAATGTGGGTGACAAGATGCAGGGGGGTAACTGGGGACATAGCAGGTGAGCATGTCTAACCCCAGGGCTGTGCTCTGTCCATGCAGGCACAGACCTCCCCTGCAGCTCTATGGGATCAGTGTAACCCCCTGAACATGCAAAAGCAGGAATTTGGGAGCCCCTGCATGCCAAGATCTCATCCACGTTCACCCTCCGGCAGCTCTGACAAACTCACTCACTGCAAAGGGATTTTGTCACCTCAGTGGTGTCAATAAGAGATCACAGCAAATAACTCCTGAATCCCTGTGGAAATGGAAAGGGCCTGCACACGTTTCCTTGGTGTCATCATCACCACTCACATCTTGTTGACTTAGGAAAAGGTTCTTCCCCCAGAGGGTGGTTGGGCACTGACCAGGCTGCCCAGGGCAGTGGGCACAGCCCCAAGGCTGCCAGAGCTCCAGGAGGGTTTGCACAACGCTCTGAGGGCCAGGGTGGGATTGTTGGGGTGTCTGTGCAGGACCAGGAGTTGGAGACTCTCATTCTACGACTTGAACAGCAGCAAACAGCCTTACACCTCTTTTTTTCCCTCTCCCTCAGTTACAGACTCACTTTCCAGTGCAGAGAAGCCCCGAGCTCACCTGACAGGTAAATTTGTTCCAAACTGAAGCCTTTCCTGGGGGGGGTCTTACAGATATTGTGGTGCAATAACCTTGTTCTGCATGGATCTTATAGGATCAGATGTTGCAGGAAACGGGGGAAAATAATCATCAGCTTTGCCTTGCTGACAATGACAGATTGAGTGCAGGCTGTGTCTGTAGGAAAGGGCCCACAAGGGAGGTAAAGGACAGAAATGTCACCACTTTTCCAAGCTGTTTCTTCCACTGAATGAGCATCTCTTGAAACTGAGCTTAAATAAGTGCCTGATATCCCAGAGATCTGCTGAATCCCCTAAAAAAGGCAGGGGAAGGAGCTCAAGTGAGCCCTCGTGGAGCAAGGCAAGAACTACCAGATTTGTAGCATAATCAGGTCAAAAAGGGCCAGTTCTAGACTTGATTTTTCTGCAAGGCCTGACTTGGGTCACACACACCATATTCCCATCAAATCCCCCCTTTTTTTCAATGAGATCATCTCTAACACACGTCAGAGCAAGCAAAGGGAGGGTAATGCCAGGTTGAACCCTCCAACCCTTTCTCTTGTGTTAGGAAGGTGGTATCACAAAGCCTTACTGCAGGGTGGGCTGTCATGTCTTTCTAAGGGGCTTCCAGGCCTTTCCAAAGGGTTGCCATGCCTTTCCAAAGGGATTCCATGCCTTTCTGAGGGCCTGCCAGCATCTGCAAGGTCCCCATCTCCCCACCTCAGCCTTGAGGGCTGTTACTGCCCTGAGACATCCCTCAGCTCCACCTTCACCAGCTCGACCCACCTGGAAAATTCAGGCATTACCAGAGAGAGGAGGAAAGTGCTGAAGGATTTTCCAGCTGGCCTGAGGTGATTTATACCTCCCTAAAGTCCAGCTCAGTGCAGAGGCTTTCCCAAACCCCTGAGTGTTGCCCCAGGGTGCCCTTTCCAACCTGAAGCAGGACATGGTGTGATCCTTCACACAAACCCACCTCCAGGGTTCAATCCATCAGTAGTTCAGGGCTGATTCCTTTCCCAGCATAGTTTTCTTTCCCTAACTCCTTCCTGATGGTCCCCATCCCTTTGTCACAGGGGGTTTCCAGAGCCACAAAACCTACCTGGCCTTGCCCAAAATCCCATCTTTGCTCAAGTGCACGTCTGCAGGAGCAAAAGGACCACGACTGCTCGAGTTTCCAAGGGGGACTCTGTGGCAAAAGAGGTCCAGAGGCTCCTGATGCAGTGACTGAGAGGAGCAGCCAAGCACTGCTCTGCTCATGGGGACTCCCCTGGGTTGCACAGAAGCCCAGTTGCCACAGAGAAGGACCCAACAGTTTTCTTCAAGTTTCCTCAGGCCCCATATTGACCAAAATTCCTTCAGCACCATTCCCAAGCAGCCTCCCTGAGATTGAGCCCATCCTCTCCATCTGGTCACACTTGGCCACAGCCAGGAGCATGAAAAGAGACAATTTAAGGGGATTTTATGTCTCCTTTCTGTGCAGAAAACCCACACCCAACATGCTGTGCTGTGTAGGCATCAGGGAATCCAAGATCCATAGATTTATCTTTGATCTTTTCTTAGCCCAAACATATTTCTGGTGCTGTGCCCCGTGACAATGAGTTTCCAAGCTTAACAGTACATTGTATTTCCTGTTATATTCAACAGAATTTAACAGAAAACATTTCCTGTTATATTCAGCTTTTGTGCACAATAATTTATTGGGTTCCACCCTGGTTTTCTTTTCTCAGAAATCACGACTTGTCCTAGAAAGAGTAAAAGGAATAATTATTCCCCTGCTCTTTGTTACATTCCTGCAGCTCAGGTACCATTCTCAAAGTGAAAGTGGGAGACTACAAACCCTCACCTGTAGAAAATCTTCTCCAAATCTCCCTTCAGTCTGTAATTTTCTAGTTTTAGGGACGTATTTCTGAAGGTGACAGCAGAGGAGTGAGAGGAATGAGAAGTAGCCAGAGCACTTCCATGGGAATGTGCCACTGAATTGGCATCAATAACTCAATATTTTGGTCTCTGATCTTTATAATGAATTTTCCACCTTCTCTCAGCCTCTTTAACACACACTGAGCATTTTGAGCTTATCCAAATTGGCATCAAGGTCTCCTCTCCCTGGGTGGTTATAACTAGTGAGGAATGGCACAAGCCACGGGAATACCCAGCTCAGGCTCTTCTCCATTGATGTATCCTTGGTTCTGACTGCTCCATCCCTGCCATCATCCCCTCTCCACTTGTCTGCTTGCACTTTGGGTCAAGATGAAGACCAGCAACTCTTCCTTCTTGTCACCAGCCTGTGGCTCAGCTGGTGACCTGTGCTGTAGAAATTCCATCAGGTTCCTGGCTCACACTTACCGTGTGCAATGGTACCCAAATACACCATGAAATCTGGGGAGAGCATCACCTTCCATTCCAAAGCACCTTTTAAGGGCTGTGTTAAATTTTCAGGGCATGGATTTGAGCAGCAGAAACCCTGCAGCCACAGGATTTTGCTGTGCACATTTGCAAGGCTCGGACTCAAATCTCTTGCTGAGCCTCAGAGCACAGAGTTCAGGGTTAGAATCTCACTCTGGGGAGGGCTCAGAATTGTAGGAACCCCCCCCTCCAAGTTCACCAATATGCCACAAAATACACCCCAAATCTGACAAGCAACAGGGATTCTCCAGCCAGGGACTAAAGCAAAAGGGATTTGGGGACAGGAGAAGTAAGGGATGCCAGAAATTTATAGCAGAAGGAACTGTGGTAATGAATCCCTTATTAAAAGCAGATTTTGCTTATCTCAAGAATCAGCACAGGAAGTGTAGATCCATAATTTATGAAATTAATAAATAAATGGCAAGTGCAAAGTACCAGTGCTGCTAGAAAAGGATCTATATAAAGGCACTTGGACATGTATTTGAATATTATATTCAATTTGAGTATGTATTGTACTACTTGAACATGTATTTTTCCTCTTGACCAGCATTGAAAGAATGGGGAAAATTAATTAACTTGAAAATAGAGAGCTTCAATAGAGTGAGATTTATTCTAAAAAAGGAGGTTATAACTGTTAAACTTGCCTAATTCTCAATGTTTTGAAATCATGTATTTCATCTGAGCTCCTATTAGTTATAAGGAACGCTGAGGAATTGCGTGTCATTGACGTCTGAAACGTGTCATCTGCACAGAGAGGAACATTTCACAGGCAGCTTCTCCTCCATTTCCCCCTCCCCTCAAAATTCCCAAGATGGAAAAGAGCCCAGGACATTTTCTGAAACTATTCTGATCCTTCCTATCTCAAACAAGTTCTCCTCTGCTGGGAGTTGCTCTCTGATGTGTTACCCCAAGCTCCTGTAAATCTTAGAGTGACTCCACGCTCCTTGAGCTTCTGCCAGGACTCAGATCAGCCCCTGACACCCAGAGGTGGATGAGGAGGAAGGCAGACCATGACTACTTTCACTTTTACTTTCTTTTATTCCTCTCTTTCTGTATCAGGCAAAGTTCTATTGGTTCCAAACATCATTGTCCTTATAACACTTCCATAATTTAGCTTGGCTTGCTCCCACAATCCCTGTGGGTGTTCCCACACACAGAAGCACCCTCCCTTTGCCTCCTGGGGAAAGATCAGAAAGATCTGATACTTCAGCAGCACTGACAGGAAGGCTGGAAAAATGGGCATTATTTTGTTGTGCTACTCAGAGAATATGCAAGGAATTGCTCTCCCAACACCTTCTGGGCTCCTTATGGATTATTTACTGCTAGACAAGAGAGGAAATGGATGCCCCTGGGAGCTGAGAACATTCCCTGTCCTGAATCTCATCTCACCTAGGATAATTTCAAAGGGTATTTCAAAGCCTTCCTTCCTGCATTCTCTTTGTCTCCCTGCCCATGCACACACACCCCTCCCCCAAATACGGAATCAAAATTAACTTGAAACAATAACTTGAGCTCATTAAAAAGGTCTCAGTTCCTGGAAATCAGTTCCCTCAGTCATTCTCAACGTTCATCATTAATTTTCCAGGTTCATTTTAACATCTGGCAGGATCTTGATGGGTTTTATCCTCTTCCTTTCCACTGCCTGTGTTTTACCACAACAATTGGTGTTTTACCATGATTTTATGTGGCAGCCAGTAAAGAGCAGAGAAACTCTTGCTTCTCTGCAGAAAAATGTGCAAGTGCTGAGGTTTGTTCTGTGAGAGACATTTAAGTGGTGGAGGGAAGGTGAAGGGAATAGGGCAGCAATTCCCTGATTGTTCCCCTAAGAGTCTGCAGCCTGGGGAGCATCCTCAGCTTGGATCAGCTGATGGTGGGGTCTGGATTAGAGCTCTGCTTGTAATCAGCTACCAACAAGGCTGAGAAAAAGCCTGGAGGAATGTTGAGGCTGACACCGAGCTTAGGGTTTTTTCCCAGCAAAAGACAAAAATGGTTTTAAACATAATGTGCTGCTTCAAAATTGGGCCCCTTGGTGCACAGTGGGGTCTTCTGAGCTTTAGGTAAAATCAAATGGCACAAAGGCAAATCTACAGTAAAAGATTTGATTGACAGCACTTCAGGAAGAAAAGCCTGAGGATGAGGAAGTTCAAATCCCCTTTAGGGAGCAACTTGGCAGGAAGAGAAGTTCAAGTGTGTCAGAGCTTGGTGACACATTGTGGGGATCATTGGGGACACTTTGCCAGCAAAGTAGTGCCTGAGAAACATCATTGCAGCCCATCCCTGCTGAAGGAAATGATGCTTTAGTATTTCTTCTGTCCCTAAACATTAGGTTCAGCCATGGTACCCGTGTGTCCAACTGCCCCAGTGCTGGTTTCACTAAAGGATATGGTTTTTACTCTGTAAATGGGTCAGACAGCAAGGTAAAGCCAGAGACTCAGCCTTTAGGAAGGACAATCCCACCTTTTGGGGTCTGACCCACAACCTGGACCCTCAGGCACAACATATCCCTTCAGGCATCTCTTCCACAGCATCCTTGGCTTTCCCTCCTGATTGCTCTGGTCTGGGCACCCTGTGATGCTGACACTGAGCTTAGTGTTCTGTCCCAGCAAAGCATTTTAAAAAAGAGATAAAAATGGTTTTAAACATAATGTGCTGCTTCAAAATCAGGCCTCTTGATGCACAGTGGGGTCTTCTGAGCTTTAGGTAAAATCAAATGGCACAAAGGCAAATCTACAGTAAAAGATTTGATTGAGAGCACTCAGGAAGAAAAGCCTGAGGATGAGAAAGCTCAAACCCCCTCAGGGAGCAACTTGGCAGGAAGAGAAGTTCAAGTGTCTCAGAGCTTGGTGACACGTTGTGGACATTCTGCCAGCACAGTGGAGGTGTCTTCTGAGCTTTTGGTAAAATCAAGTGACATTGGTAAACCCAGAGAGCCTCCCTGAAAATCCCACTGCACAGTTGCCCTGCAGCCCATTCAAGCTGCGAAATAAGAACATTTCTGTCCTTATTTTGATCACCCTGTTTGATCTCCTCGCCCCCTGGAGCAGAGACGTTCATCCAGCAGCACAGCCCTGGCTGCAGTGACCTAACCCACCTCCTCTCCCTCTCTCTTCCTCCCACAGTGAAGAGACAAGACCCCAGCGGCGCCGTGGGGAACCACCTGCCCATCCTGCAGTGGGAAGACAAGCGAGGCTTGGCCTTTACCAAGAACAACCTGAGTTATTCCAGCAACGCTCTGGTGATTCCTGTGTCTGGGGACTACTATGTCTATGCTCAGGTCACGTTCCGAGGGCTCATCGAGAGCCCCAGCAAACACATTTCTGTCACTGAGATCATCACCAAGGTCACTGACAGCTACCCCGAGCCCACCCAGCTGCTGACAGGCACCAAGACCCTCAGTGAGAACTGGAATGGCTGGTACCAGCCCATTTATCTGGGAGCTGTGGTCTCCTTGGAAGTGGGGGACAAGCTGATGGTCAACGTCAGCGACATCAAGCTGGTGGATTACACCAAGGAGCACAAAACCTTCTTTGGGGCCTTTTTGCTGTAGGTCTCTGGCAGCAGCTGGGGGGGTTTTCCCTTCAGGGCCCTGGGAGGACCTCGATGGACTTTGGCTTTGTTGAGTGTGCGTTGGGGTGCGATTCCTGCTGTTGTCCCTCCTCTGTACCACCAAGCCCCTGCAGCTCACTGGAGCCTTCATTTAATGGGTAGGGAAAGCTGAAGCTGCAGGTTGAACTGAAATAACATCCCCTCCAAAAAAAAAAAAAAAGAAATCACCAAAAAAGAAAAAGAAAAAAAAAAAAAACAAAACAAAAAAAACCTCAAAACCAAACCAAAACAGAAAAAAAGAACGACCAAAAAAACCCCAACCGAAAACAAAATCCCCAAAACAAACAAACTAAAAGAAAACCAAAACCAAAACCAAACCAAAACAAAAAAACCAAAACCCAACCAACTAAACAAACAAAAACAAACAGAAAAATGAAAGTCTGATCAGAGGAAAAAAAATGTACTTCTGAAAGTAAAAATTGAAAGTTCTTCAAAACTTTGTAAGCTAAGGGGGAACAGTTGATATGGAATGTTGTTCTGGAATGCTGCAGCTAAGCTACATCGCTATTTCCACCTCCAATGTCCAGTTTCCTCAACTCTGAAACAAAAAGTGTTTTGAACTTTCTCCAGCACTTCCAGTATAGTTTTGCATGACCCTTCTTCAGACTCTCGGTTCTGAAAGGTAATGACTTTTCATCATTTCCTTACAAATCAATTTAGTACTTTGCACTAACATAAAGCTCAGGCGAATTATTAACTGCTTAATAATCCCTTCAACTTCCCTGTAAAGTAGATTAAAATTATATCTTGTGGTTTGCAGCAACTACTTGAAATTTTTGTTTTTTCCAAAAAAAAAAAAATTGTTTACAGTTTTCTAAGTCAACACTCAGCCTCAAAATGTTACGTGAAAGATGTAGGGAACACACACCAACAGCAGGAAAGTGGCATCTCCCCTCCAGGTCCTAATATTAGGAAAACAGAAAAAAAAAATCATGGCAGGGAGAGACACGCAGCAAAATTTAGCACACTTTTAAATCAGCCACTGAAATTTTGAGGGAAAACCTCTGCAATATTTTGCTTTCCATTCTGTTTAATGCATAAAGAAATCTTGGTGCTTCCCCTTGTGCAACCATTGCCAGCGGTGCTGCCCTGACCTCAAGGGACTCCCTGGGTGAAGATTGACCACCGGTTGTCCCTCCATGAGGTCAGAGGATGCAAAGACACCGTCCTGGTGTGACCTGGGCAGGTGTGGAGCTCAGGAGTGTCTCATTTCCCACCCTGTTTATTTGCATAGTCCTCACTGGCCCTCAGGGAAACTCCCCAGCTTTCCCTCTGCTCCTGCAGCAAAACCCAGCCCTGGCAGTGACTCATGTTCTCAGAGATCTGGACTTTCAGTGGATGTTCTTACAGTGGCCACCCTCCTTAAAACTGAACAGCTAAAAAGAGGGGACTTCAATTTAACAACATCTTCTGAAGCAGGTATTTACCTGCTATTTACCTATTTACCCAGGCTGGGATGGTCCAACTCCCACTGGAGTCAACCAAAGGAATCCTATTGATTTTGGGCTGTGTCCCAAACACATTTGACTGTAATATTTAGATGAATGTATGAGCTGAATACAACTTCCAGGAGGTCTCACAGCCCAGCACCCACCACCCAGCTCCTCTGAGACCTCCAGGCTTCACCCTCTGCAACTCCTTCTCTTTCCTGCCTCACCTCGTGGGATTTCCTCCAGTTTTCCACTTCTTGGCCAGAAATGACAGCAAGGCTTGATTTCCTAAACTGATATTCCTGCTCCAAGTGATGGTGGAGCCCAAATTCACACCATTAGTGTAGCACTGGGGATGGGGGTTGTAGCTGAGGAGCTGAACTGGGCAGAGAAGCTCTTTAGTGGAGACAGCCCAGCTGTAAAAGCCACGTGTGATCCTGCAGGCAGCAGTGCCACCAGGTTGCTTTGCCCATGGCAGGTCTCCTCCCAGCAGGAGACAATTTTTTCCCATATAAAGATCTGTTTGAGCTGACAGGGAAAAGCCAACAGTGCAGCTGAAACATAGAGCAGAGAGGAAAGCCAAGGCTGGGAGTGGAAGGAGGAGAGGAGCAGAGCAGGAGGTGGGAAGGTCCAGCCAACACCAGATTTCTGCCTCTTCATGGCTTAGTGTAAGCACCTGCATGCTGAGGGGAAAACTAGCAGGTCTTTTATGTAGTAAATCATCTAAAAAAAAAGCTTTTTGGCCATCCTTCCCTATTCTGGATCCCAGATTCACAGTCCTTCACTCTTTTATCCACCCTGAGTCAGCACTAAACACATCCCAGCAGCCAGGAGAACATCCTGACTGGCCTCCTTTCCTCAGCAAGTGTCTGTTTTACTTCCAGATTCTCCTTGAGTTATTGTGGGTCCAGTGGGAGACCTTCACAACGTCCCTGCATCCAAACCTCATCACAGTTTGGTTCCCCATCCTTTCTTCGACTTGTCCTTCATTTCCTTTCTCCCACAGGCACCTTCCTGCCTGTTTGGCCCTGTCCTGTATGGACATCTCCTTATCCAAATGCCATTTCCTACAGGAAACTTCTCTTTTAGAGTCACCCCAGTGACATCTCAGCACAGGTTCAGGTGGCAGAAAGTAAAGGCAACGATCCCACAAACCCTCCTGGCCAGAGGATCCTCTTAGCCCTTTATTAGCCAGATTCACTTCCATCTTTGAGTCCTTATTCCCATGTTTCCTCCAGCTGTTCAGCCCTTGTTTTCAGGCTGAAACAGGAGCAGTTATTCCCTGTATATTCCTTCAGAGCCCAGCACACACGACCTGCCCTTGTTCCTTCTCAGAAAGGCTGTTTGTTCATCCAGCTCCTCAGCAGGGCTGTTCTCACTGCTCAGAGACCCCCCACTCATGGTCAAATCTGGAGAATTCCCTACAAAATTATTCTCTGGGAGATCCTAAGACTTTCCATATCTCAGATTCTCTGAAGTGTTCCCTCAACATCCCGTGTTGAACCCTTCTGAGCTTCTCACCCCTCAGTTGTGTGCCTAAAATAGGATCTGAACTCATGAAAACACAAAATCTGCAGCTCTTGCAGACCACAAAATGTGGTCAATCTCAGAAAGGGAAGATTTAAAAGTGGCCTGTCCAGGACAGGTGATTCCCAGGAAATAGGTAGGAAAACTTCTGTGAAGTGCTATATTGGATGAATTCGGTTTATCCTTGGAGAAAATTGGAGTGGAAATTCTATTTATTTTGAGTTACAGTAATCCAGAAAGCTCTTTTTTTTTCTATAAATGAGGTGATGTAGCATTTTCCTGAGGGCCTGACCCAGTCCTGGTAGGCTTGGACAGCAGAATTCCATAAAAACTGTATCCAAATTTATCCTCAGCTAATCCTGGTGTGCTGAGTGATGGGGAATGTGAGGGCTGGGGGAGAGGAGTGGTGGATGCAGCACTTGGCATTCTGTGGGATATGCACACATGTATACCCAGACACGTATATTTGTGTATATTCCACAGAAATTCCACGAGCCCATTGCAAAAATCAGCCTTTTTTAGCACAAAGCACATTATCTGTGCCCTCTGTACACTAACAATGAACTTCACCAGCAAATTTGTTTCTGCTGCAGCTCCATTACAGGTGTGACTCTCTCAATTCATTGTCCATGGCACAGAAATATTTATTTTAGTCCAATTAGAATAGTTTTATTTCAGTCCAGTTTAACCCTGTTACACACACCAGCTTTTAGCACATTTAGCACAATTTATGTGGCATAAAATAACATATCTGGCATTACTTGTTTTAAAGTGATGCAGGAATATTAATCCCCACATCTCCCCCAGTGGAATTTTTCTCCCTTTTCCCCCCTTCTCATTGCTAATAATGTTTCTGGAACAGCATCAAATATAATAAGTATTCAGGGGCTGATTCTGACCCAGATATTCCTCCACAGAAATCAATGGCATGAAGTCAGAGTAAAAACCACTTAAATAAGACGAAGGTCAAGCTAAAGTGAAATATCTCCAACAGACTGAACCTAAACTGTGGATTCTCAGATTTATTTTTTTTTAATCTAAATAAGGACACAAGTGTTCTCAGAAATTTGTGTTTATTGGATTAGAAAATGTTGTTTAATGTAAAGCATTTCTGGAGATGTGAAATATCTCTGTATCAGCTTTTTCAAGTTAGTGAGAAACTGAAGAAATCTGGTCATGGGAACCAGTGACCTTGAAATCTGGGGTCAAACTGACCATGTGATTTGTTTTGGGTGGTTTTGGAACTAAAACCATTATGAGAAAAAAATTGAAGCTGGAGAAAAAGGGTGAAATAGGCAGCTCGGGCTAAAGGAGATAAAATATGTGATTTCAGGGTTTGACCCTTCCATTTCTTAGCAAAAAAAAAAAAAGAAAGCACTTTCCAGAACAAAACCATTGAAAAAACAAATATTAGATGATTATTATTAATTTTTAACAACTGCTCAAACCATTTTATTATCCCTGCTCGAAATATTTCAGATCTTACGAATTGTCTTCTTTCCCAATCTCTTTGATCCCCGAAAAACTAACACTAAACACAACCCAAATTCATAAAAAATTCGCTTACCTCCCACTTCCTTTCCCTTTAAAAACTAAATATTGGTAAATAAGCATTAACTTTCTCTCCATATTGATGCAGAAGTAAATTTTATTCGAGCTCTAGGGAACGCAGCTGCAATCCTACCAACATAAACCTGTGCTGTGTTTAGTCCCTGAGGGAAAAGGGAGAATCCAAAGGGAAAAGGGAGAATCCAAAGGGAAAAAGGAGCTCAGATTTCCCATTTGGTGCATGGGAGGAGTAAAATCTACGTTCCTCAAATCAAAAGTGGGTGGAATGTTTTAATTCCATCAACTCCATCACAACGGGGGGAACCCTCCTGAATCAAGGAGCGCTTGCATGGACCATCCAGCACAGGAATGTTGGCAGGATCAGGGTCTGGAGGTGTAAAAACACAACCCAAAGGACCAAAAGGATGCTGCTGGGATGATCTGGGATGTCTCAGGGCTGTGGATGTGACGAACATTCCCCCGTACAAAGGGGCACTTCCCCACAGACCAAAGAACTGGATTAAGGGAATTCACCTGAACTTTTCCACGGGGATATTTCAGAGTTTGGAAGGAATCTCGTTTTTCCCCTCCCTGCATGTTATAACTGACCACGCTGTGCTTTGGTTTATTTATC